CAGGCTGTGTTTCTCCCCCAGGGTGGCTTTTGCTGGAGCCAGAAAGTCCAGGTACCAATGTACAGCGATGCCGTGAACATACTTAGCTGCCTCTGGGTCCGCCAGCACCTGTACAGGGAAGGGGAGGAATACTGGGGAAAGGGAGCCACTGAACCCGGCCCTGCCCGTTCGGAGGGTTCTGGGAGACACCAGGGGACCAGAGAATGGGCAGTGGGATAAACACAACTAGAGGGGGTTGCAGTAACAACCATGGGGTCCTGGGGATCCACAAGGGGGGACTATCACCCTAGCACTCCAGGGGTATGTACACCACCCGGGCACCTAGCTCCGGCCCAGGGTGCCCTAAGAATCAAGAGTTGGGGCAGGCCCAGCCCCGGCCCTCCCACCCCCAGAGAGAGTGGAAGGCCCGGCCAGCGTGCCTCAGTGGTTGAGCGTCAACCTAGGAACCAGGAGGGCACGGTTTGATTCTTCCAGTCAGCACATGCCTGGGGTATGGGCTTGATCCCCCATGGGAGGCAAGAGGTGGCCAATGATTCTTTCTCAGCATTGATGTTTTCCTCTCTCCCTTCCTCTCTGAAATCAATAAAAATGTATTTTTAAATAAGAGAGATACAGAAGAATATGATGTGAGCCTCCCCAAAAAGAGGGTCGGGAAGGAAAGCTCTTCCTAGTATCCTGGTGTGGGTATACAGGGCCTGGAGAATAATGCCATTGCTTCTCCTCAAAGTACTCTCTGGAAGTTCCGGAACCCTGGAGAAGCCCCATACTAAGTCAGGCCCTGAGGATCCTCCCAGCCTGGACAGGTAGACAGGGAAATGCCAGTCTGAGCTTAGGACTCTCCCACACAAAAAGGAGCGGGAACACTTCTTTTCCTGTTGTTTTTTTCACACTTGGACACTCCTCTTCTGCCTTTGGGTGGGACTCATCTTGGGCTGGGCCAGATCTGAGGATGAGAGTATCTCTGTTTTGGGTGGAGATTTCGGAAGGCATGGCCTTCATCGAGCAGAGGAACTACATTCACCGAGACCTCCGAGCCGCCAACATCCTGGTCTCTGCGACCCTGGTGTGTAAGATTGCTGACTTCGGCCTGGCGAGGGTCATCGAGGACAACGAGTACACGGCCCGGGAAGGTAGGGGATGCTGCCAAGGGACCGGTGGGGCCCACCTGGGTTGGTGGTGAGTGGTGAGTGGTGAGAGTTGAGCCTGTGAAAGTGATCAGTAAAATGCCAAGGTCCACCCCAGCTTTAGCTATGTCTTATTAAACTGGACAGAGTCCTTCTGGATGTAATGTCCTGGCCTTCAGTCACCCAGAGACTCTGATGTAGATTAAGTTAGGTGTGTGCATGTTGAAATAAGCATAAGATCAACTTTATGGATAATAGATAAAGACAGAGGAATCCAAATATCTATAAACAGAAGAATTAATTTGTAACTTGTGGTATATTCATACCGTATAATGTTTGCAGCAATGAAAAATTGCAAATCAATGCTACATGCAACAAAGTGGTTGACTCTCATAGACATAATATCAAAATGAAAGAAATCAGACCAAGAAAGTAGATGTTGGACGATTCCATTTATATAAAATTCAGAAACAAGCAAACTCATGTATGAAAGTTCATAGAATCATTATTTGTAACAGCCAAAAAGCAGATGCAAACCAAATGTCCATCAACTGATAAACAGATAAACAAAATGTGGTCTACCCATACAGTGGAATATCATTCATAAAGGAATGAGGTACATGCTACTCATGGATAAACTCTCCAAGCATCATGTTAGTGAAAGTAGGCAGATACAAAGGTAACATATGAGTCCATTTATACCAGTTGTTCTCAACCTGTGGGTCGCGACCCCTTCGGCGATTGAACGACCCTTTTACAGGGGTCGCCTAAGACCATCCTGCATATCAGATATTTACATTACGGTTCATATCAGTAGCAACATTACAGTTATGAAGTAGCAACGAAAATAATTTTATGGTTGGGGTCACAACATGAGGAACTGTATTTAAAGGGCCAGAAGATTGAGAACCACTGATCTATATGAAATGTCCAGAACAAGCAAATCTGTAAAGAAAGTAGATTAATGATTGCCTAGGGCTGGGATGGGAAGTTGGAAAGAAATGGGGAGTGCCTGGTATGGGTTTTTTTTTGGGGGGGGGATATGATAAAAATATTCTAAAATTCACAACTTTGTGAACATACTAAAAACCAATGAATTGTATACTTTAACTGGGTAAATTGCATGACCTGGGTATACATCTCAATAAAACCGTTAACGAAAAAAACAGGCAAAACTCATTTATGGCGGTAGAGGTCAGAACAGTGCTTACCTGGGATGGGGGTGGTACTGACTGGGGTGGGGGCGGGCAGGAGGGAGCCACGGAGATGCTGAAAGTGTTCCCTATCTTGATCTGAGTGGGGATTACAAGGTCTACACATGTCAACAATGCATCGAGTTGTATATGAAGGATTTGAGCACTTTATTTCATGTTTGTTAGGACACAATAAAAACAACCTAAACTAAGAGCAACCACTCAAAGACTAAGAGTAGAACATATAATCTCTAAAACAGGAGAGGATAACCAGGAATAAAGAAAATTCTCTCAATGTCAAGGAGGGAAGAAATGGAGAGGAAAAAAAGCATTTTCAAAACTTGACCATGTACTCATCCATAAAGCAGGTCTCATCAAACGTCAAAGGACATGTATTCTTATCAAGCATACTCTTAACCACAATGGAATTAAGATGGAAATCAGTAACCAAAGGTTAACTAAACCCATCCCAGAGGGGGAAGGAGAAGAAGAGTCGAAGGGAGACACCCAGCGACTGGTGGAAAGCACAGTGGCCATGGCCAAAATCTTCCCTTCTCCCACTGCCCGGCACCAGGGTGCTAAGGCATTCGCTGCAAGCTGGACTCAAGGCCCCTGCAGTCCTGCTGTCTGAACGTTCTGTGACCTCTAGGACTCCCCTCTTCAGGAGGTGTAGGTTGCTGGGGTGACCGCTGAATTAACAAGGTGGTCCTGGGGAGTTGGCGCCCCGGCCACACCCTAGACCCTCCGCCCACTCCTGCCCACTTCAGCCATCTGTCCTCACATCGATGTTCGTTGCTCCTAGAGGCCAGATTTAGATTTAGAGAAACTGCAGGTCTATAGGGGGCAGATGTGGGCAACTGTGCTGTCCTGTTCCCTCACTCTACAGAGACCCAGCCCCTGCTCTCCAGACCCTCCCTGACTCCACCCTTTCCAACTCTGCAGGGGCCAAGTTCCCCATCAAGTGGACAGCTCCTGAAGCCATCAACTTTGGCTCCTTCACCATCAAGTCAGACGTCTGGTCCTTTGGTATCCTGCTGATGGAGATCGTCACCTACGGCCGGATCCCATACCCAGGTAGTGAAGGGGGCCTCAGCTTGGGCTGCTTCCAGGGCCCAGTCCAGCTTTCTTCTCTTGTCAATGTCCATTCAGACTGAGCTCGTCATCCTCCTCCCAACCTCCCCTCACCTGCTCCATCTCAGTTAAAGGACCACCATCCGCCCAGTTTCTTAAGCCTGCAATCTGCGGGCTTCCTCCATCCTTCCTTCTCTCTCACTCCATATCACATCCAAACAGTCAGAGGTTCTGGTATTTGACTCCAAAACACATCCCAAGTCTTCCCCTTCTAACTCCACGGCCTCCATGCTCATCCTGGCCAACATCACCTCTTATCTCGATGGTACAGTGCCTGCCTAACCAGCACCCTGCTTCTCCCCTCTCTTCTATAGGCCGTTCTCTACGTGCAGCCAGAATGAGTTTTCTAAAATTGTGACTCAGATCTTGTCCCTTCTCCATCTCTAACTCTTTCATGGTCTCCCACCATAATTAGGACAAAATCCCAAACTTCTAATTATGCCTGCAGGTCTTGCATGATCCAGCCCCTGTCTACATCTTCAGCTTCACTGTATGTGGCATCCCACCATCCAGTCATCCAAAGTACCACACATGTCCCCCGTGCTTCTCATTCAAAACACGCTACACTGTTTCCTTCATTGTGTTCATCACAATTGATAACTATGTGTTTGTTTAATATTTTCCCCATCAGACTCTGAGCTCCGTGAGGCCAGAAATCATGTCTGTGTTCCTCACTGGTGTATCTGCACTGCCTACCTCTGTGCCCGCCACATAGTGGGTGCTTCGTATCTGTTTGTGGAATAGATGTTTACCTACACGCCTGCGAGCAGCACCCTAGCCTGAGTAGAACACAGGGTATATAAAGATACACGTGACATACAGATTGCCTAGGGCTCGGTAATACTGTTGTGCTCGGTTCCTTTTTGGTTGGAATGGCTCCATGCCAAAACACTGGGAAGAGGGGACAAGGCAGATAAAAACAGTCTGATTGTTTTTATAAACTGTCCTGACTTTGAATGGTGTCCCCATCAACTATTACATTTTGACAAATTCACTTCACTTTTATCCCAGGGTTTTCACCTGTAAAAAATATACTATCCGGTAATGACATCTACCTTATACAAGTGGTTGTGAAGGTTAGGAACAAAAGATATAGACATCGCTCATTCCACTGTATTTCTCAAGTTCCTTCCGTGCGTTAGGCACTAAGGATACAGTAAGAGACGAGGCCCCTGCTTGTAAGGAGCTCACAGTCTAGCCTGAGCACACACTAAACAGACACACACTCCCAAGGAGGTCACTGCTGAGAAAATGAAGCCGAGGCGTGTAAGAGTGAGTGACCTGGAGCTCCTGTGGACAGGGAGTGCCTGTCAGAGCCGGTCATATTTGAGCTGAAAAACAGCTGAGTGTGGATCTGGGGAAAAGATTTCAGGCAGAAGGCACTGCCAGTTTACAGGGCCTGACGTGTGCCTGAGGATAGCAAGGAAGCCAGGCAGCTGGAGCCCAGGAATGAGAGCAGATGGTAGATGATGAGGTTGGCAGGGGCCAGATCCGGCAGGGCCCATGGTCATGGTGAAGAGTGAGTGGATGTTAGTGTAAGCATGTGGCAGCTGAGAGGGGCATCCTCTCATGGTTGAGTGATGCGTGGTTCAGCATGGAGAGTGGCTTTGGGTCTGGGACAAGTGGAAGCTGTAGCAGTGGCGATAGCAACAGAGATATAAGCTGATGGGTTGATGCTACATTCCGAAAGAAGAAAGGATGTGAGTTGCTGATGTGGAAGGTGAGGGAGAGAGAAGAATTAAGGATGATTCTCCTGGTTTTAATGGAGCAACTAGGTGGGCAATGGTTATGGATAGAAATTAAAGAATTCTGTCTTGGCCCCGTTAAATTTGAGGTGAGTAGTAGACATCCAGGTAAAGATGTTCAAGAAAGCACTTGGATATGTAAGTTTGGAGTTCAAGACTGGTGATATAAAATTGAGGGCCATAGATAGTTAAATGGTTGTTCTTAAAGATAAATAACAAATTCAATTAAATAAGGAAATGGTCCCATTCACATATAGGGTGCATCGAGTCTAGCCACCTGTGTGCCAGGGAAAATCAGGAATGGCTATGACACCCTGTATCCGTTAGGATGCATTAAGCTGCAAGTAACAGAGTGACAGACTAAGGAGTGGTAGAAACAATAAGTAAGTTATTGTTCCCATAACGAGTCTGACACTGGTGACTGGTTAGTTCAGCTGCTCAGCAGCTTTCAGGACTCTGGGTTAGTTTGTCCATGACTGTCTTCCTCACATGGTAGAGGGCTGCTGCAGCTCCAAGGATCACACTGTCTCACAGTGCCAGAAGGAAGGAGTAAGTGTGTGTCCTCTAAAGTCTCTATCAGGGAGGAAAACCTTGCCTGGAAGTCTCCCTGGAGACTCCCCCTCGGCTTCCATTGGCCAAAACTAGGTGCCATGCCCCTACCCTCACTCAGGGGAATCTATGGATTTCGCAGTCAAGAGACAGAGCTCCCACAGGAGGTGGGGAGTGATGGCTGCTGGGGAGGCAACTTTGTCTGCCTCCCCTAGACTCCCATCGCCAATCCCTCCCTTTTTAATGGCTCCTTCTCAGGCATGACAAACCCTGAGGTGATCCGGGCGCTGGAGCGTGGATACCGCATGCCCCGGCCAGAGCACTGCCCTGAGGAGCTCTACAACATCATGACGCGCTGCTGGAAGAACCGCCCCGAGGAGCGGCCCACCTTCGAATACATCCAGAGTGTGCTGGACGACTTCTACACGGCTACGGAGAGCCAGTACCAGCAGCAGCCGTGATGGGGACCACGGCAGGGCCAGGCTCTGAGGCGATGCCTGTGAGGTTCACCAGCGCCATCTGCTAGATGTCCGCTCACCCTTCTCACTCCCAGACACCCACCCTCACTCCAGCCTCGGTTCCTCATCTGTCAAGTGGGTGGGCTGGACTGGACAAACTCTTTCTGATTCTAGCAATCCACAATCTGCCATTCTCAGGAGACCCCAAGTTATATTTCTGTTGCCTGGGACATTTGGATTCCAGTTACAGCTGTGGTTTGAATAGAAAACTTTAAAAATAATGAAATATTTAAATAAAAGATAGAAATGCTAAAGGCTACTGACAGGTCAGCTTTTCTTCTAGTTCCTGAATATCTATTTGCCTTTTTGCTGGACGAGTCAGAAATGGGGAAGGCCCCTCCCCGAAACCAGTAGTACAGAGAAGTGGAGTATGATATGCAAACTGCCCCAAATAGTTGCTGACTGTGTTAGTTTCCTCTTGCTGCTGCAACAAATTACCACCAACTTGGCGGCTTGAAACAACACAGATTTATTATCTTACAGTCCAGAGACCAGAAGTGTGAAACGGGTGGGCAGGGCCACCTGCCTTTTGCGGGCACCGGGGGAGAATCCGTGTCCTTGCCTTTTCCAGTTTCTAGAGGCTGCACAGTTCCTTCCCGCTCTTCACTCCAAACTACTTCAGTCATCATATCTCTGCCTGAGTCTCCGGCCTCCCTCTCTCTTATAAGGGCCCCTGTAATTACACTGGACCCACTTGAATAATCCAGACTAATCTCCATCTCAAGATCCTTATCACATCTGTGAAGTCCCTTTTGCCATATAAGGTAACATCTTCACAAGTTCTGGGGATTAGGATATGGACCTTTGAGTGTGGGGGTGGGGTGGGGGGGACACTGGCACTGGGACTCTGGATGGGTTTCCAAGAAGCTGGGTCTGCCAGGATGACAGGAATGATTTTTCATGCTCTGGGACCCTGACTGTCTGGCCAAGCCACATTGCTACACGAGCTGGTGGATGTCTACAGCTTTGGGAGCATTTCCCATGGCCAAGCAGCTACTGCGGTTGCTAAGATGGTATCCACCATTGCAGGAATCCTGGGGTCTGGAGATGGGGCTGCTGCGAGGTATCTGGTTCCCTGTGTGGGAAGCTCTCAGGGGACAGGAGGGAGACCTGGAAAGGAAACAGAGAAGACAAGGAGGCATGTTGTCACGGTTGAAAGTCAGCTTTTGTTGTGAGGGGAGCAATGAGAAGAGGTGACAGTGGAATGGGCACAAATGATACCTTTCTATATTACTGTATTTCTTGAAGGATCCACATCATAGCACCCACCAGGGTCCCATGGAACCCTATACTGAACTGATTCTGTACCCCTGAGTAGCACAGGTCTTAACTTTAGAAACTGGATATAAGAAGAGTGGAAAGCCCTGACTGGTTTGGCTCAGTGGATAGAATGTCCGCCTGCGAACTGAAGGGTTCCAGGTTCGATTCCAGTCAAGGGCATGTACCTTGGTTGCGGGCACATCCCCAGTAGGGGGTGTGCAGGAGGCAACTGATCGATGTTTCTCTCTCATCGATGTTTCTAACTCTCTATCCCTCTCCCTTCCTCTCTGTAAAAAAATCAATAAAATATATTTTTTAAAAAAAGAACAGTGGAAAATAAAGCTATCAGTGTTTCAACTTACCTAGTTGGTAATTCAATTTTTCTCTTGTTTTCTTGTTTGGGATGTGTCTTTGGGTATCTGAAGCAGAGCACAGGGCTCTGTGATAGGAATCTGCACTCATGATTGTGGTACATCGAATTGCTGTTCAGTAATCCACAGGAGGAGTACACTTCTCTACACCACTAACGTTGAGCTTGGCATGAGACTTGCTTTAGCCAATGAGATATTAGAAGACATGTTGTAAGCAAAGGCTTACAATGTGCTTGTGGGGCTGGCTTCCCCTCCAGCCTTTTGCCCTGAAAAGCACATGGTCCAAGAAAGATGAATGACATGTGGTGCAGATGTGGACCCAACCTGTAGCTTGGAGTTAAATCCAGCTGATCCCAGCTTCAATCAACTGAACTCCAGCTGACCTGTGGACATGTGAGAGAGGAATACATGCTTAATATTATAAGCCTTTAAGTTTTAGGGTTGTTTTGTTACATAGCATTATTACAGAAATAGCTGACTGAAACATGATTTCAAGAATTGGAGCCTATCGCTAAATGGACAAGATCCAGGAGTCAACTCATGCCCTCCTGCTCTATCAGTTTACACTGCCCTACACTCTGATATTTTCCTCTGGTCACAGAAAAGACAGGTGAAAACATGGGGATAGAACACCAAAAGCATGATCCATGAAAGAAAAAACTGACAAATTGGACTTGATTAAAATTAAAAAGCTGATCTAAGAAAGACAGAGAAATGAAAATGAAAAGACCAGTTCTGACATAGGAAAACCTATTTGCAAAACACCTATCTGATAAAGGATTGATATCCAAAATATACAAAGAACTCTTAAAACTCAATAATAAGAAAACAACTCTAACTAAAAAATGGGCAAATGAGCTGAACAGATGCCTTACAAAAGAAGATACACAGATGGCAAATAAGCATATGAAAAGATGCTCCACATCATATGTTATCAGAGAAATGCAAGTTAAAACAACAATGGATACCACTACCCACCTATTAGAATGGCCAAAATCTAAAATACTGACAACACCAAATACTGGTAAGGAGGTGAAAAAAAACATACAGAAAATCTCGTTCGTTGCTGGTGGGAATGCAAAATGGAGCAGCCACTTTGGAAAATATTTGACAGTTTCTTATAAAACTAAATATATTCTTACTATACAATTCAGCAATGCAAATACCCACACAAAAACATACACACTAATGTTTGTAGTAGCTTTATTTATAAATGTCAAAACTTGGAAGTAACTAAGATATCCTTCAATAGGTGAATGGATAGCCCTGGCCTAGTAGCTCAGTGGGCTAGAGTATCATCTGGATAAGCCAACGTTGTGGGTTCGATCACGGTCAATGCACATACAAGAATCAACCAATGGCCATAACCGGTTTGGCTCAATGGATAGAGCGTCGGCCTGCAGATTGGAAGGTCCCAGGTTTAATTCCGGTCAAGGGCATGTACCTTGGTTGCGGGCACATCCCCAGTAGGAGGTGTGCAGGAGGCAGCTGATCAATGTTTCTCACTATCTCTCCCTTCCTCTCTGTAAAAAATCAATAAAATATATTTTTTTAAAAAGAATCAACCAATGAATGCATAAATAAGTAGAACAAACCAATGTTTCTCTCTCTCCCGCTGCCCTTCCTCTCTCTCTCAAATTAATAAATAAAATTAAATTAAAAAAACAAACAGGTGAATGGATAAACAAACTGTGGTACGTTCATAAGGGAATGTTGTTCAGTGATAAAAAGAAATAAGCTATCAAAACATGGAAGCCTGGCTAGTGTTGCTCAGTGGTTGATCATCAACCCATGCACCTAAGAGATCACCAGTTTGAATCCCGATCAGGGCACATTGAGCCTGGGTTGCAGGCTCAATCTCCAGTAGGGGGTGTGCAGGAGGCAACCGATTGATGTTTCTCTCTCACATTGATGTTTCTATCTCTTTCTCCCTCTCCCATCCCCTCTCTAAAAATCAATAAAAACATTTTTTTTAAAAAAGGGAAAAAAAAAGGAAGAACCTTAACTGCATATTGCTGAGTGAAAGAAGCCAATCTGAAAAGGCTGCATGCTGTATATTCCAAATATATGACATTCTGGAAAAAGTAGAACTATCGAGACCATTAAAAATCAGCAATTGCCAGGGATTTGGTGGGGAGAGGGGATGGGATGAATAGGTAGAGCATAGGGGATTTTTAGGGCAGTGAAACTATTCTGTATGATACTCTTAATGGTAGGTACATATCATTATATATCTGTTAAAACTTATAGAATGTACAGCACAGATTGAACACTAATGTAAACTATGGACTTTAGTTAATAATATTGTATCAATATTGGCTCATTAGTTGCACCATATATACCATATTAAGGCAAGATGTTAATAATAGGGGAAACTAGGGGCTGGGTGAGGGGGTATATGAGAACTTTGTACTTTCCACTCATTTTTCTGTAAATCTAAAACTGCTCTAAAACATAAGGTCTAGTAAATAAATAAATAAAACAAAACATGGGGATGAATTTTGAGCCACCAATTCTTTGGGACTCTATATGCAGTTCTCCCCTGGAAGGTGCCCCATGTCAATGACTTGCTTCAACCTAGCCTCTAGCTGTGGCTTTAAGTATAAATACAGAGAAAGCACTGGTTTCCCCTGTGATTTGAAAAAACTGCCTCCTTATTCTCCAACCTGGGCCCTCAATTTTGTCATGTGTCTGTCCTCATCACAGTATATCTGACATAAGACTATATTGATTTACATTCTGTTTGCATCTTTCCCTTTTGAAGGTTGGCAATGACTGCTAGTTATCTCCACCTCCATGTTCCCCGTTCTTCTGGAGAAACAGAATTTTTATCAGGGGCATGTGACCACCCAGAATGAATGCTATATTTCCCACTCCCTTTTGCAGTGAAGTGTGGTCATGTGCTTACATTCTGATCAATGGGTTGTAAGTGGAAGTGTGGTATAGCACCTTCCAGATGTGGACTCTTTGCCCCTTATTTTTCATCTCTTCCTCCATCATGCTGTCTAGAATGTGCATGTGAAGGCTGGAGCTCTAGCTGCCATCTTGGACCCTGAGGAAAATGAATTAATGCTAGGGATGGCAAAGCCAGATGGTGCCTGGATCTCAAGATATTTGAGGCATAGCTACCATACAGCTAGGACGATCCTCCGGACTTGTACCTCAGAGAGTGTGGCATGCACTGTCAGTATTCCTTAAAGTGGCCTAGACTTTTAGCTGTCATTATCTGCATCACTGTGCCTAATGGCTCCTTCTCTAAAACTGGAGGAAAAAAAACACAACACCACCAAAAAACAACCACACATACACACACACACACACACACACACACACCCTCAGCTGCCAGCATTCCAAGAAGGCCAAAAGTGCTAAGAAATTAATGACCTCTGGGATCAGTCCTCAACTAATGACTTTTGGGAGTTGGTGTACAAATAAATACTCCAGCTCTCTTGCCTCTTGGTTGGGATAACTGTGAAGTTTGTGTTTTGTGCTGTTTCCCATGATTTCCCCACAGGATTAAACTTCAGTTACCTACAGAGGTAACCTGCTTGACAACATACCCTCTCCAAGTATAGTTCCGTTATCAATGTCGGTTAATAGTTTCATTTATACTCATGAATAAGATGAAAATGAAATAAAGAAGTATGCATGTTTTCACTCCTTAGATGATATGAGCAACTTCTTTGCTGAATAAGGTAAGAGTTTCCAATACTGTCACAATTTTGTGCTAATCACAATGTAACAGCTACAAACACAACACACTTAATGTTTTTATCTGCATTACTAACATTGGCTCCATCACCTAACCTAAGTCTAGACCTGGGTTTGGCAAACTACATTTTATTGCGACACAGCCACACCATTACTTATAGTCTGTAGTGGTTTTTGTAATACAGGCAGAGCTGGGTTGTGACCCAGTAACATGGTCTTCAAAGCCTAAAATATTTACTATGTGACCCTTTACAGAAAAATTTTGATAGCGAAACAATAATTCAAGTCCTGATTTGTAGCTTTGCTGATTTTTGTGTTATAAACAGTCTCAACATGGCCAATTTCAAACTAGCAACCAGAACTGTATTATGATATTCATGGGCCTTTGGCACTTTTGCTTTTGTTGGAACCTTCTTTCATAAAATATATATTCTATTTATAAATACATTAAATTAATTAGAAATTATAGTTGATAACTACATTGATATCAAGATGAATATATTTATATATGAAGACATTTTTTTCCTTCTGATTTAAAAAAATTTCTTTTGAACATTTTTGTGGCATCTAAAAGTATGATGGGCCTTCTGCACTGTGCCTACTGTGTTAATGGATACGTTGGCTCTGCTACCAATCCTACACTGCTGAACACAGAGCTGGAAAGGAATATGCAGCAATACACCATTTAGCAATATTACACATAAAATAGATGTAAATAACTCAAGAGTAAGATGTAGTAAAATGATTAGGAAGTGATAAGTTTTAAATATAAAATGTTTTAAAATTGATTTTAGAGAGAAAGGAAGTGGAAAGAGGGAGGAAGAGAGAGAGAGAGAGAGATTTATTGTTCCATTCATTTATGCATTCGCTGGTTGATACTTGTATGTGTCCTGACTGGGGATCAAACCCACAACCTTGGCATATCAGGACAATGTCTAACCAACTGAGATACCCAGCCAAGGTCATTTTGTTGAGCATTGCCCCATGTACCAGGAGGTTATCTGTTCAATTCCCAGTCAGGACACATGCCCAGGTGAGCTCTATCCCTAGTAGGGAGTGTGGGGGAGGCAGCCAATCAATGTTTCTCTCTCATCGATGTTTCTATTTGTCTCTCCCTTCCTCTCTCTGAAATCAATAAAAACATATTTTAATTTTAAAAACCATGTCTATTTGTCTGAAAATATCTTTAAAAAAATAAAAGCAATTAAAATGATAAATTGTATGTGATGTATATTTTACCACAATAAAAAAGGTTTTTTTAAGGAAAAAAAAGAAACTTACCATGTGATGGAGCTAGTGAGAGGTAGGGATGGGATCTGACCTCAGGCCACCAAGTTCCAGGATTCTGGTGTATGTTACCGAAAGAGATGGGAATGTGAAAACCCTTGGGGGAAAACAAAAAGTATGAGGAGGGGGAAAATGGAAATACTGAAGAATAATAAGCCATTTGTGAAGCTTTCCCCTTATTCTTCATCCCTCTTCAAGCATCCAGAAAGGGTAGAAAACACCCAGGATTCAAGATCCAGGAGAACTTGTTGCAAGTTTGGAATCTATGACTTACTAGTGATGAGATTCCAGGTAAGTTCTCCTAGTGGCTCAAGCTTCCTTCCCCTTGGGAATATCTGTTCAGCTCTTCTTCAGGATGGTTGTGTGGATGAGAGAGTTAATGGATGTGTGTTTCAATGATCAATTGCTCATGAGAAACCACTCCAAAATCTAGACCGACTGCGCTCAGCTGGACAGTTTTTCTACTGTGCATAGTGTCGGATGTGGTTGCATTCAGCTGGCAGTTCAGCTGGGGCTGGGATGTCCAAGATGACTTCATTCACAATTCTAGTGCTCAGCTGGAGTTTCTAGATGTCTTGAGGAGTTGGCTGGCCTCCCTCCCTTTCCATGTGGCTGTCCAGCAGGGTAGCCAGACTTCTTTAGGCCCAAGATGATAGCCGCAGAAGCTGCCAAGCCTCTTAAGGCTAAGACCCAGAACTGGCAGTTGTTTGTATCACATTCTTTGGTCAAAACAAGTGATATGACTAGCCAGATTCAAAAGGAGAATAAATAAAATCTGCCTCTTGAAGGGAAAAACAGCATGCTCCTGAAAAAATGGGAGGACTTGTTGGCAACCATCTTTCTGGACAATCCATCACAATGGTGCTCATTTCTACTCAGGGAGATAGAGAGCAGAAATCCAAGTGCCATTTGTTTGCCAACTATATCCAAGGGCAGATGAAGTTAAGGGAATAAATCTCATTTTGGTTTGGCATCAGCATAAAACTAATGAATAATCTATTGAAATCCTCCCTTAAGACCTCCCCCAAATGCCCAGCTTTTAAAACCCCTCAAAAGGAAGGTCACAGAGCCTGCTCTCCCAGGAATATGCCTGCACCCTCCCCCCCGCTTGCCTCCAAAAAAATGAGTTCGCGTGTCATAGGTTCGCCATCACTGTCCTACACTCTAAGGGATCCCAGGAGGCTTGCAACTAGGAAGCAATGGGCAGCGACTCCTCCTCCCCAGTTAACCCTTGACCTTGGCCCCATGGCCCCCTTTTCTCTGACTTCCTAGTGAGCCAAAGCAGCCCAGCCCAGCCCAGGCTCATTTCCCCGCCTAGTTACTCCCTCTATTGTTGCTTCTTCTATCCTAGGCCCTTCCTTGTTTCAGTGTTGCCAGCTTTAATAAACATCCTTTAAAAATCACCTGGATGCCTGCTGTGAAATCTTTCCTGCGCAAAGTCAAGAACCCACTCGGGGCCTGGTCACCTTTCCCGTAACAAGAGTCACACACTTACCTAACACATGGTGAAGTCCACATTCAAAGATGTCCTCCTCCACTAAATACATTGCTTTTCATTCATTCCTTTAACAAATACATAGTGCATTGTATTGGGCACCTTCCATATGCCTGAAGGAAAATACATAAGAGTATAATGACAACTATGTAACATTGTGTCATTAGCTCCTCATCACAAAACTATGATGAAAGTATTACAATATTCCCCTCCCCATTTTACAGATGAACATGGAATGAGGTTTAATAATAAACAGGCTCCTACCTTTTAGGTATTACAGTCTATTGGAGAGGATATAGAATAATCAAGCAAGTAATTCAATGCATAATTACAAATTATTCTCAGAGTAGAACCCTGCTCTTGGAATCCTGGTATCCGCCTCTCACCGAAATCAAGGCCTCAGGTAACCCTGGCAACCGTCCTCTGGCCATTAGTAAAGATGGTGCCCCGAGAACCTGCGCGTTTAGGCACAACCTTCATTTCCCACAATGCAGTGGGGAAGAGGGAGTAGCTGTCTCTGCCAGGAGCTAATATGGCTCCCCAAGTTATGCCCTACGCTCTCTTCCCCTAATCAGCGACTTGACTGCCCAGACCAGGCTACGGATCAGGAGCTAAGTCGGCTTTGCCCCTCCATACCGCAACTACAGGAGCGATTGAAGTTGAGCGGCACCTCGCAGAATTGAACTCCATCACCGGGGAAACACCACTTCCGCTGACGTCATCACGCCGACACGTGGATCCAAGATGGCGGCAGCGATGGTGAGTGAAGGAGACTCCGGGAGCCGGAGCTGGAGCCGGGTTCTCCGGGGGATCCCAGGATCTTCCGGCACTCCATGCCTGCCCCGAGCCACCTCCGGAACCCCTAGCTCAGGCTTGAGGGATGTCCCTGACTGGGCTTGTCTCCCCCAAAGTTCCCCTTCCCCGGCCGTGGCCCCGCACTCAGGCTTGTCAGGGCCTGGAGTTTTGAGGGAGGCATTGGGTCGGAGGAAAGGTCTCGGCGACCGCCTCTGCTGGTTCCTATTCCTGCTTTGGTCTCCGCTTTCTGTGACCCCCATTTTCCAATTTTCACTTCCCAGCCCTGACCCCTCTGAAGAGCCCCCCATTATTCCCGCCTTTGCTCCTCCCTCTCACGTCCAGATCCTGCTGTCTCCGCCTCCCCACCCTCCTGACCAGTCCGTGGGAGCGACCTCGCCTCTGACCAGCCTCCAGCCTAAAGCCGGTGTCAGACCCTTTCCAGAGCCCCGTCCGCACCTCCACTCTCGCCTGTTCTCCGCGCACCCGTCTCGACCGTGGTTACCCCGAGCTTGCC